CGTTGAAAAATGCCCCGGCCCGAAGTGGTTAACACTACCATAGAAAAGGAGCTAGTCATAATCATGGCATTGTTTTCTCTGTGGTTATTCATTACTGCAAGTGTTCTAACACCCAAAATATTTTAGGTATCAACCCCAAATTGACTAAGCCTTCAAGTTCAAGGACGCAAACATTTCATGGAATCACGGAGAGCACGATAATTCCTGCCAAACAAAAGAGCCGTTACCCGGTGGATCCGCAGACGGAACGCAATATGCAAGCTTTATGCAAATTACTACCCTCATGAATGCGCCCGATCTTTCGCGTATTGGTGTGGTGGGCAATCTTTGGCAGGGCAAATCCCCTTTGAGTTTGCACGTGGCTGAGTTTCCGCTGACCGACTGGTCAACTTCCAGTTAGAACAAGACAAAATGCCGATTGGCCACCACAAGGTTTTTTTTCTGAAGTTGGCTGGCCGCCCTGGTGGGACTTCCAAAATGAATGCATACGTTTAGGTACTGTACAGGATTTGCATGTAGTGCAGTTTGCCAAAATTGACCGATTTGGGGTTTGTGAGTTACTTTCTGTATCATTAAAGGCACTTGCTTTAGTTTTTGAGTACTCTGCTCTTAGAATTTCGCTGTTCATTTTTAACATTCAAGGCGCAGCTTGTTTAATTTGTCTTGCAAAACACCATGGACTGCAGGACGTTTCTGCCTGCCAGGACAGTGCACAGATGAAGTCGATCTGGCCCTTAAGAAAGACATTGTTTTCCTTTGCTTTTCATGGTAATTGTGGTTTGCAAATTTACCTTCAACTTTATGTTTATTCTTGAACAATGCAACGCTGAGAATTGTCAAACATCGATGCATCCTGCAGTGAGTTGACTGCTGCAGTACCACAGTGACTACGTGACCACATGTACCGTACATGTAGAGGTGCACAATTGACCACGTTCATGTACAATTCACTTTTTAAAATGTTGGCCTGCCTACGTCGGTCAAAAACCATTCATGGACACATCGTCAGCGCCCAGCGTTAACACTTTATCAACAAATGTGGTAGCTACATGCATCCTTGCATTTGGTCATGTTAGTTACTGTGATTTGAAAATTAGAAAGCTAAATGTCTCAATATTGGAGATTCTGTTTGAGACAAACTGGTCCCAGAGCTCCTCTGGAGAGGGCTTAATTGATTTGGACCATACCATTATCTTGAAGGGTGATACTGAGATGATATAATTTATGTGAGTTAAACCTCCAAAGTTTCATAAATGAAGTTTAATTTCAGACCTATCCAAATTCTCTTTTAGGTTGTTAGTTATGGTTATTCATCTATTTCATTAGCTAATAATAACTTTAGGTATACCGATGGCACATTGGCATGTTGCACATAACCCATTAATATAGACTTAGACTCTTGCAACTTGCAACAACTCCTGTTAACAGTTGCAATAGTTGAAATTTTCCAAAGATCGTCCGGGTAGCTGCAGAACAGTACTAAATTCTCACTGCATTCAATTGTGCGCATGTATATTCAGACTGATATTATGTATGCCAATTTCCAATATTCGCACCCTTACGTTCCATATTAGGCTAATGATGTCATAAATGAACGTGCAAAACAAATTTTGAGTGGATGCCGATTGTTTTTGAACTCATGTTCAATCAAAGGTAACTCAGGAAAAAAAAAATTGCCAGGCGGAGTATAGCAGTGCTTCAGCACATGATGAGAGTTGGTGCAGGCAAGGGCCAAATAAGCTTTCCTTTCGTTCGGTCAAAATCATAGTATTTATATGTTATATATATGCCGTTATCCATTCGAAAAAAGACCGATGGAAAATTCAAACTTGCAACTTGGACGTGGTTGCCATCCTGGAAAGGAATGCTGACTTGATACTGGGGTCCTTTGAATATAGCGAATGTCACAGTTTGGTAGTTGTATCTGTTTCATGAAAAAATAACCAGAACACAATTCACTCGAAATCCAGTTTGATATTTTTTCCTGTAAAGTAGGAGATTCCCATTTGAGCATGCTGTTTTCACTGTTTTCACATATCCTGTGATTGTTCTGTTGAGTCAAGCATGGTTTAAACACAACTGTTTTGGTCGTCGAAACACATTTGGAAAATGTCACACTGCCTCCAAAGTTAAAATTCCACGGAATTATAATGCCTGAATAAACTTTCCAAAAATGTGTAAAACTGTTGAAATCAAAGTTGCTCATGGATATGGGATGGAGAAGGAGATCAAATACTTGTATTAAGTGTCATTTATACACGAAAGTACCACAGCACGTTCGTAGCCAGCTCCAAGTATGCCTCACTGTGCGTTGACCATTGTACATGCACGTGTACAATACTTGTACATGTACGTATGCACATGCATGTACATATCCCAACCTGAACCGAAGTTTGGCAAAAAATTTCTAAACGACTGTCACGACCCCATCGTCTTTAATAAATGTTGATACTTGTAATGAGGGAACATCTTTACGCCAGAACAGCTGTTGGTATTCATGAGGTCCAGAGATATCTAGCTTGTTCGTGATGCTTTTTGTCGCAATGACAAAAGGGCACACGGCCGCCAGCCTCATTAAACCCCTCATGCTTCAGCGCACACCTCCGTCGTGTCCGAGGATTTCCCCCACTTGGCAAAGTTAGACCGATCGGAAAAAATGTGGACAATATGTGGAACGGTTAGTCAATTTGGGGATGACGCCTTATACTTACAAATAGCCTTGTAGGCTGTATTTTAGATAAAACAGAAGAGCACTTTATGTTCTTACAAAGTTGCTTTTCCCTTTTGCAGTGAAAAATGGATGGTATATAATTTACCAGTCAGTTTTACATTAAAATGGTCATTGATTTTTATTTCAAGACAGAAATCACTCTTTGGTCTGAATCCAGTTATAACTTCCATACTGACACACATGAATCACATTGTGTGGAGTGCTTGACCACTTGCTGCTGGGTGCTTTTAAAAATGCAGTGCACATATATGGGCCATTTTCAAGATTGTCAGTTTTCAAAATTCTTAAAAAGTTGTTTGGTTGCTACTCTAGTCTGTTAGGCAACCTCCATTGACTCCTGAGTATTTCAGCCAGGCCTGTTGCCCTGTAAAGAGAGCCCAGAATTGTGAGGTGTTGCGTCATTTCCTTTGTTCCCAGTGAATGTGAGTGGCCTCTTTTCAAACACGGCTTGATTAGCATGCAGCGGCACTGTGTCGCTCATCAATGGGGCTCTGGAGCACTTTTGTCTGCTAATCCGCAGGTGCACTATGCCCAAAATAGTGGTATACTGTTTGAAAACAGTGACAGATTACCTTTGAAAAATGTAAGCCGAAAAATGATGGCAATTCCCAGCAGCAGGTCTTTTGTTCTGAGTACAGTCTTTTGTTACACGGACCAGCTCTTTTGTCCAATTTCGGGCACCCTGGCTATGCATATAAACCCATGGTGCTCAAAAGGGGGTTTCCCGGCAGCAAGTGGTTAAGGCATGGCAAAACTGCAGAACCATCAGGAAACATTGCTAACAATATCTTACTGACCCCTTTTGTTTTGTGCTGGAATTGTACTCATGATTGTAAGTGAATGTTGTTTTTTGCTGCATTTGGTTATTTTCATTGTTATCAGTGCCATCAAGTTCAAAGTGCAGACAACTCAAATAGATGCACTTGATTGCCATTGTCCACCTTGTCTTGCCCAATGTGATTCCTCTTGTAGGCTCTCTCAAAGATGAAGGAGGACTGGCAGTCAGTTCATTTTAATTTCACTGAGTACAAAGACACAGGACTGAGCATACTGTCATCTCCTGAAGATGTCCAAGTCCTGTTGGAGGATCACATGGTGAAGACATCAACCATGAGAGGATCACCCTTCATTGCTCCATTTGAGAAGCAAGTCAAAGTGTGGGAAGAGACATTGGTTAGTAGAGAACCTGGATTTAACAGTACTGGAATTAAGAAGAAATAAAGAGAATGAAAAATCTGGTGGCAGTTACATTCATCGTTTAGCTGCAAAGCTATTAGGAAGTCTTCAGAAGCATTTCAGTGAGAATGTTTGTAGATGAATGCATACTCTCTGAGTCATCATGGTAGGAAAGAAAAAACACACATCAGTGTAATTTTACTCAGAGGAGGAGTGTTTTTAGTACTGCACAGGCTGTACAGAGTAAGTTGAGGGTAATCTTTGGTTTCTTTGTGATTACCTCTGTGATAGTACTTCTTGACGCCGACATGTTAACTGGTTTCACAATTATCCTTTGCTATTTGTTCAAGATCAACAATTACTCTTATGTGTGTTTACCAGTATGCAGTCATTTCATGGAAGGATAAACTTTTACACAGAGTGCTCTGTTGTATCAAACTTTCGCCTCCTTCATTGATTGCAGAGCTCACTGCTGAATCACATTTGAATCTACCAGCTGACTGTATGGATTTTTCCAGAAACAAAAAACAAAATAAAAGTAAAGTATAAGTTTTTTTAAAGGAGCAAAAGCATACAATTTGAGCTTCCATTGGCATACTTTTCATTTTCGGTAGGAGCCACGCCATGGCTATGTAAACACCTTTCCATAGATTCAAATCAGATTTGACTCGAAAATGAAAGAAAATGAACTCTCATAATTGATATCTTTCACAGTTCTCTGAATAGCTTCGGAAAGTTAAGGTACATTTAATATTCCACTTTTTTGCACTCATGCATTGTCTGTATATTCTTTTCTGATATAGATTCGTTGAAGTAATTTTTGTCTTGTCACCATTTTTAGCCCAACGCCATACTGCTGGTGAGGGACTAATCACTAAAAATATGACATAATGTCATGTTGTGATGTCATTGTTGACTCCCAAAATCTGAAAAAAAAATCGATAGAACAGGATATAAATTAAGGATTTCAGTGATCCATAGTTTCTAGATGGTTATTGCAGAATCTTAGGATATGGGCAGGAATTAGTCTGTTCATCAATTTTGAGCAGTATTAGCAACATAGATATGTACATATATATATTTATATACACCTTGAAAGATGCTACCAAAACAAGCAAGCTTGCATCAATGCGAGAAAATGGCACAACATCTAAACTTTCAAGGCAAGAAGAAAACTGTGTCAGATATCTCGCTGAAAGTCCCATTTTCCTTTGTTTAAAGTGTGAAAATATTGTTCAGAAAGTTTTTCAAGCCAATCTCATTGGTTGCAGATGGGAGGTTTCTTCACATGAATTGATACCTGCAGATTACTTTTGTCAGTTTGTACAGTGACCTGTAAAAATATGCTGAATTAGTGGTTTTTTTTTATATTTGTAGACATTGATGGCATGATAAAAGTTAATTTTGTGCTTGATATTCCAGCATCGTATGAGTGATATTCTCGACTCATGGCTAAAAGTTCAAGCAGCGTGGCTGTATCTGGAGCCAATCTTCGGATCAGCAGACATCCGACGCCAGATACCTGTGGAAGGGTCCATGTTCACAGAGGTTGATGAAAACTGGTGAGAAACCTCATTTGGTAGAAGTTCAAGTGAATTAGATTAGCCATGTAGATCAGCTTGAACTTAAATGTCAAAACATGCTAACTCAGCTTAAAGTTCTAAACAAAATTGGTTCCCACAACGCTTGTTTATTGTTGTTTTATTAGCCTCTATTAATTGTTTAACCCATTAAGTACGGTATGGTTTTTACGATTACACTGTACCTGAGCTACTGGACTGCTAGTATTGAATGAACATGCAGTGTCTGGGGCATATGCTGGGTCACAGTGCATCTGGCTGGGTCTATTATGGATTATGTGCTAATTACATCAGTGTTGTCCCATATGTACATTGTGGGTAAGTCCAGAAATTAGTCCAAAAGTTTGACATTTTTGTGTCCCTATTACACCTGACCTTTGTTATTTGACATGGAAATATTACCAGAATTGATTTCAAACTATTGCTATTTGTTTGGCAGGTAATTGGCATTAATTCATCATCTTGGAAATTAAAAAAATGTGTTCTGAACCTACAACATCATATGTCAGATGTGACGAGGACACACACAAAAAGGGATCCCTGATTTCTGGCATAACCCTTGTACATATTAAGCTCTATACACACGGCTTGATTTTCATTCAGACTCAGAAGGATTTGCTGATGATTGGAATACAATTCTTGTCTTTTTTCTCTCTCTCTCATATTTGCAAAATTTACAATGCATCTCTCTTCACGTTTTTCCATTTACAAAATTGATTTAGTCTTCAAATTTCCAACTAAAATGAAAGGAATTGAACTAAAACACAGTGCAGTGTATAACTTTTTATTAGATGCACTGCAGTATGTCTTAGGGGGAAAATTATATCATGTGGTGCAAGGGCAGCTCAGAGGGAACTTCATATATTTCACACATGAACCTGGTTTTCCTTTCTTTTGTCACAAAACACAACACTTGAAAGACCTGGCACATGTTCCCGCTAGAGGTATTTCAATGAGGAAATATCTTCCTCAAGTGTACTTGGACCAGGAAGACAGGGTGGTCTACAGTGATATACAGGCAGGGACTCACATTTTTCACTTTAATGTGAAAGATATTTGCCAGTCCCACTCAGTCCTTTGTACACAAGTTTACAAGGCAGACATCAAGCAGGAAGAATTTACAATTCATTCAGTTTGTAGTCAAGTGGGAAATGATTATTTTGTAAATTCGAATAACTCCTACTGGTAGCATGCAGGTTCTGATTGGTCAACAAGTGGTTGCCTTGTGTAATTAGGAATGTCAGGATGGGAGTTTTAAAGGGGGTCAATCGTGTAAATGGTTAGTTCTGGCGAGCACACCCATAGACACATGTTAAAATCAGCACAATGGAATTGTTGATAAAATTACCTTATCAGGTGAAGTCCAACACCAACACAAAGGAAAGTGCTGACAGTTTTTGGACACAGGTTTCCAGAGCAGTTTTGAAAGTTTTATCTCTGTATTTTTCTGGACGTCGCGTCCTCTGATGAATTAATTCTTGGTTATTGTGTTTAAAATCAAAGACAGCATGAGAGAGAAACTACATTTTGCATTCAAGACTGGGTTATACACACTGAAGTACAAACAATAATTTCATTATGGATTTATTTAGAGAATGTTTCTGTGATATGGCTTAATAATGACTTAATATACATTGAAACGTTAATGTTAATTTTTTTGTGTGTGTAGAATTTGGGATACCCTGTATAGAATATGTGATAATTTGTAATCATGCCAAAAGAATAAAAGGCGAGGAACGAGGGTCAATTTTCATGCTGCGCTGTCGCCAAAATTAGAGAGATGATTTTAGAGTATTTGTAGTTTAAAGCAAAGAGAAGCTTGACCACTCTCTTGTACTGCTTGGTAGTGACCAAGTAGTTGGTAGAAGAGGCACGTTTGTCTGCTATTTCCACACCTCTCATGCCCTCATTGTAGTTGATTTCACACTGGGCTTCCTCCAAACAAAGTGGAAATGAATTATTTTACTCACTGATCATGCTTGGTTAAGCCAGACATATCATTTCTCAACTTAACCATATGCTGCCAGAGAACCCGGTTTCGGGTACCTCGGGTTTGTATGCATAGCCAGGGTGCCTGAAATTGGACAAAAGAGCTAGTCCGTGTAACAAAAGACTGCACTCGGAACAGAAGACCCGCTGCTGGGAATTGCCATCATTTTTCAGCTTGCATTTATCGGATGTAATCCGTCATTGTTTTGAAACAATATAGTTTTGGTATAGTGCACCCGTGGATTAGCACCACGGACAAAAGTACTCCAGCTTCCTATCGATGAGCGATACAGTACCGCTGCACCCTAATCAAGCCATGTTTGAAAAGACGCCACTGGCATTCATTGGGTACAAAGGAAATTACTTAACTCCTCACAATTCTGGGCTTTATTTACAGGGTAGCAGGCCTGGCTGACATACTCAGGCATCAATGGAGGTTGTGTGTCAGATTAGAGTAGACTCTAGACAGTCATTGGTGTGGGTGTAAACATCCGTTAAATGAAATTATGAATTGTTGAAGAATTTTGAAAACGGAAAATCTTGAAAATTGCCTGTATGTACAGTAGGCACTGCATTTTTAAAAGCACCCGGCAGTGTATGGTTAACAAGGTTATTTGAGAAGTATAAATGCTTTTGCTATGAAAGAACTTAGAAAATGTGGCCAATCCAGCAAAGAAAAGATGAAAGTCTTTTTCAAAATGGTGGGTGGAACTAAGTTGGAACTGCTGTATGACTGTTGTAATGTTTAAGGAATTGCTATTATAAAAGGCTGTGGTTGTTCTTGTCCAAGAAGTTTTATACAGTGAATGTGATGTACATGAAAGCAGCTTCATGGAAAATTGACCATAAGTATATGGCACAGCTACACCACAAGTTTGGGGCATGAGGCTTATGCATTGTGTGAAGTTAGGCAATTTTTTGTAAACTCAGCTACTATTTGATGGCGTCAGTATATACAGTGTTTTGCTGACGGAACTGACCTAACTTGCTTTGCACATGAATTTTATCAACATTGTTTTCTGCATACTAACGCCATGAAAGTGTTTCTTGTCTGTCATGTCTTGATACTGTTGATTAGCATAAATTTGATCAGTTGTGATTGCCCTTTTTTTTAATGTTACACTTATTAGGAGAGACATCATGCAGACTGCTGTGATTAACACCCGCGCATTAGTTGTCACAGCCCAGCCTCGTATGTTGGAAAACTTGCAAAAATCTGAAGGTCTCTTAGAAACTATACAGAAAGGGCTTAATGACTATCTGGAGAAGAAGAGACTGTTCTTTCCAAGGTTGGTGGTGCTGGTCTAGAAAGTCATACTTAAAACATATAGATATTTACTTTTTGTCAGTAAAGTGATAACTGTCAAATAATCATGTTGGCAAACAGAATTTTTGTCTGCTTACCCTAGAAATGCCCCAGTTGGTTGAATAAGAGAAACTTAAGAACAAAAACTGCAGCAAAGTGTTTGCTGGTTACAGAGACCTGAAGTATTCATACTGAAGGGCTAATTCAAGCAAGAAAAGAAGTAAAAGTATTTTAAAGACTGTTTAAGCACAGCTTTGGGGTGTTTTCAATTGAATTTTTTTAATGGACCCTGGTTAAATTCCTTTTTTTTCTCCAATAAAAATGCAAACCATGACACTCTGGAACATATGCAGTGAATATCGAGGATGCATCCACCGAACTGTTCACCGTTTGTTTTTATTTTTTATCAGAGTGCACCATTTTGTTCCCTGTTAAATTGTATGTAGGTGGCCTTTCCTATTAGGCTTTAGGGTTAGAGATATTTTGCAATGGATAGATGTTGACATAATGTAAAGGAATCTCAACCCTTCCATCTAGTATCGCTTTCACTAATTTTCATCAATTACCACTGACAGAAATGATCCATTTCATTAACACTCTTCAGATTCTTCTTCCTGTCCAATGACGAGCTCCTAGAGATTTTGTCAGAGACCAAGGACCCATTGCGTGTCCAGCCCCACCTCAAGAAGTGCTTTGAGGGCATTGCAAAGTTGTCCTTCACTGACACCAAGGAGATCACAGCCATGGAGTCAGCAGAGATGGAGGTAGTAGAGCTATGCTCTAGGATCATACCAGCTGATGCCCATGGACTGGTAGAAAAATGGCTCATTCAGGTCAGACATTAGGGTTCTTGAAGTCACGCTTACCATAGAGGAAGGACACAGAAGGAATAGCAACTCCAGCACTTCAACGTGTTCCATGATGGTTCCCGCCGAGTCAAACGAAGTATAGAAAACATTCCAAAAATGCCTGATTACTGCCTGCATCTTAGTGGGACAAGTGGGTCCAGTAATATCCCAGCAATACTTGTAGTTTTGTGCTTGCAATTAAATACAAATTATTGCTGTGACCAGAAAACAGAGAAGAATCTCTAATATTAGACACTTTTGCCATCGTAAATAAACTTTGTAAATTTTGATACACTGTTCCATTATCCATGCAAAGTTTGTAATTTTATTTTCTTCCATCCAATACATCGGTGTTCAAAGACTTGGCACGAACTTGGCTAAGACTGGCCAACAAAATGTTGACTTTTACTGGAAAGCTAAGTTCATAAGTAAAAAGATGCGCTATTTCATCACAGGGAGTGATCACGGAATCTCATAAAATACGCTTTTGCACAAATGCCATAATAAAAATGATTCAAACAAAATACAAAATCTTTGGGCTATTTATTCCCAAAATAACTCCAGAAGAAAGTGCTCATTAAGGGCTATGACTGCACGTATAAATTTAGCGTACGGTGCGTAATGCAAGCAACTGAGCAAGCATTGAATGTGGTGTTTACTAAGCACCAACAAATGCATGAATATTCAATTTCCTATACCTCAGTGCACAAAGTTTTAAGGGAGTACACTACCAGCGACAAATTTTGGTGGCAATCATAGGGAACAAAGGGGTTTCATGGCTGTAAAACAGGTACGTAGCAAGCATGCTCTGCACTCTGGCTATGGACGTACCAAGCATGCCACAAAGTGGTAATTGGCCAGATGCTACAGCCCAGGCAGTTCAAACTCCTCCTGTGTCTTTCTTCTATGCTCTTACAATGTTGTTTGATTCAGTCTGCATGTTGTACCCAGCAAAATTATGAAGACATACATGTATTAACCACTTCGTGCTGGGGGACCCGGTATCAGGTACTTTATGTTTGTACGCATAGCCAGGGAGCCCGAAATCAGACAAAGGAGCCAGGTCTTGTAACAAAAGACCGCACTCGGAACAAAAGACCAAGCTGCTGGGACTTGAAGATCATTTTTTCTGTTGTCGATAGCGGAGGTAATCTGTCCTTTTTTTGGAACACTATACCTGTATTTGTGGCATTCAATACGAAGAATTATAACCACGGATGAAAGCTCTCCAGCACTGCAGTGCTGAGCAACACAATACCGCTGCATGCTAATCTGGCCCCATTGAAAAAGACGCCAGCAGCGAACTGCTCTAGTTTCAAGAACAAAAGAAAATTACAGAACAGTGCACAATTTTGGCTCTCTTTACAAGGCAACAGGCCTGGCTGAAATAAATGGGCGGCAATAGATGTTGCCTCTCAGACTAGAGTAGAACCAGACAGTCATTCGTGAGGGTTTAAATGTCCAGTAAATGAGTAATGAATTTTTGAAGAATTTTGGAAATGGAAAAATCATGAAAAATGCCTGTATTTGTGCACAGCCATTTTAATTGAACCCGGTAGCAAGTGGTTAATATTAAAGACTCAGAACTGTTCAGAACATTGTAAAATATGTTTTACAGGCCGGCCAACATGCCATACTCCGTCCTGAGGTCAGGCATTACCACACAGTTGATTAAAATTTTGAAGGAAGTGAAGGCTCATTTAAATACCATTTAATCTATTGTGTGATAATGCCTGACCTCAGGAAGGATTATGGCAAGGTTGGCAAGTCTGGTTTTATTGTCACTTAAGTTTATTGGTATCTGGTTTGTTGTCCTTTTTGCCAAATTTTGGAAAATCTTAGAATATTTTATTATTTTGTAGCAAACATTCTTGTTGCAAAATTTGGCAGAAAAATGGTAAAGGAATCTTTCAAATGAGGTGCTTGTTTTGGATGGACAGCTGAGATGTTGGGGATCAACTTCAACATCCTTTTTGTTGATGTCAACATTGTTGTAGGTTGAAGACGTTATGAGAAGAAGCCTACAGGAGGTAACATGCAGAGCAGTGGATGCATACCCACATACACCCCGGAAGACTTGGGTGTTGAACTGGCCGGGTCAAGTTGTCATTGCAGCTAGTACAATCTATTGGACATCAGAAGTCACCAAGGTAAGAGCAGGATAAGACTCTGCCCTTGGGCTTGTCAGAGATAAACAGATACCTTACATGCACTCCATGCATACTAGCAATGGCCAGTAACCCTTCAGAGTTATTTATAACTCCATGAGTACCCAAGAGATTCTGCTGATCAAGTCCCAGCAGGATTAACCCAGAGGAGTGCTTCATTGCTTCATTTTCGCAGTTAGGTATCATTTGTGCGCTCGCACACTTGTGGGAGCAGATTTTTCCTGCTGATTGCAGAGATAATGCAGCCACCAAGTGACCGAGATCACTTGCTTGATTTTTTTTTAAGGATTTTCCAGTGTTACATTTTCACTGTAAATTCATGCCATGAACAGTGGTAAAGCAAAAGTTATTACCTATTTGAACATAGATAACTTGATGTTTATGGTTATTTGCTGGGAAGATAAAGTCTTTGCAGTAGGCCTTATGCAGGATTTCCACATAAAAGTATGGCGGAATAAAAAATTACCGTAATGGCAAAACTGCTTTTTGTATGGGGAAGAGGGCTGAGGAAATGTAGATTCCTGCTATTCACTGAGCCCATTCTTACACGAATCTATAGTTCCAAGTCCATTCTTTGACTTAAACTATTTCCTATTGTTGCATGAACATGGAGTCCTGAGTTTATGATGATGCCTTCTCTGTTAACCATTTGCCTGAGTGCACACCTTTGTTCCATTCAATAACATCACAGGTTTGAGTTATGTAAAGCACTGACAGTATTTGTGCAGTCAACACCATCAGTGCAGCTGGATACATAAGCTCTTCTCTTCCTCTTGCACTTAAGGGTCATTATTAAACGTGAATCATTGCAGCCAATTCTACCAGACTAAAACCACCACAGGACTCTATGAAATTGAGGAATGCACTGTGACAAGTTTGCATACAGTCGAACACGCTTTATACGAGTTCGAAGAGACTCTCCAAAAAACCTTGTCTTATACCTTGTGTTATATGTGTTGACTCTTACACTTATGATTAATGGAATTTCCATTGGTTTGTGAAATAAGCGGGAAGGGATCTATTTTGTAAAAACGTTCTTTTAATTTACGGAACAGTAAATTTCATTTTTAATGTCATGAATCAATATGCGACAGGGTTGTGTGAATTCATTTTGAAAGGGGAATGTGGGACATTGGTTAATTGAAGTAAGGGAACTTTAGGAGGGTGTACTGTAACTTCCAAAACCCATTTAAATTTTCTTTCCATTGACCATGCAGAGTCTTTGGTGAGACAAGTTTTGATATTGGAAGATGTGATCTTTCGTGATGTTATCTAGGAGGGGGACATGTTTTTATTTTTGTTAATTAGTTTAACGGAAGGAAGAAACTTCCTTTTTTTATTTGGTTCTTCTAATCAGGCAAGTATCATTATCTCTTTTTTGAAAATGTGGTGGCCCATTCCCGAGCAGGGCGCTTACTTGGGCCTGATCCCCTACTGTGCTTCTCTTCTTCCTCCTCTTCCAATCCTTCCTCTTGCTGCCCCTCTTTCTCAACTTTCAGGTCCCTAACGATTTCTTCTTCGTTCGGCTCGTCCATGCACTGCAGAGCTGCATCGGCCTCTGCACACTGACGAAAGGTTCCTGGCAAGCAAAGTGCAGTGCCAAACAGGCCCAGATATTATCAGGCCAGGCTTGGTCTTGAGGCTGGGCTTGGGTTGGGTCTTGGGCTTGATGTTAAGGCTGCCGTTGGTCTTGAAATCCTGCCTTGTTGAAGCAGTTGGCAATGCATTCTTCCTTGACTTTTTGCCTAGCCAGGTCAACCATATCAGTGGCATCCTTGACGTTCACCTCTGCAGGAGTCACCCCCGTGTCGTAGCCTTCTAGAAGTTGCTGGATCAGTGCCTGTCGGTAGTGAACCTTCATGTTTATGATCACCCGCAGATCCATGGGCTGGAACTGAGACATAGTGTTGGGTAGAAACTGGATGGTGATGGAGCGCAGGTTGGGAATGGGGGGGGGGCGAGCTGCACAATTGTCCACGAAAGTAAGACCTTTCGCTGTTGTCGGGTGAATTTCTTGTCACTCACCTCACCAGAGGTCACTCACCATCCACGCCTTGCAGTTATCGCAGTATGTTACTGGACAACATGTAATGTTCTTCAAACAGCGGGGCTTGAGGAATTTTCCAATGACAAGGGGCTTCAGCTTTTCTGTGCCGAGTAGAACGGTGATTTGCTCCTTGCTTGGCGCCATGGCACTGCTCTCCTTTAAATGCCATCATCTTGACTGGTGTTAGCCGTTAGAAGAGCCCTGCCATCCGCATTGAAAATGTTGTGTAGCTCGAAGTTATGGATGATGCCTGGGAGAGTGTCTCAAAGCCAGTCTGTAACTTGGTCCACTCTCTTGCTCTCGCCGCAGATCTGCTTGAAGGTGACTTTATATCGCTCCTTAAATTGACCGATCCATACCGTGTTGGCAGAGAAGTTGTCACAACCCATCGTTTTGCCTGTTGCGCCGCCTTTTCTCGAGGAAGGGGGCCATTGACGGGTAGGGTTTTTGCACAGGCACCCCAAAACCAGTGGAAGACATCCTCCTCCACATCTTCTTGGGCAGCAGTGCGGCATTTCTTTTGTGAGGGCCAAAACTTGGAAGTTTCAAACTTGTGTAAGATGTCTGCCTTGTTCTTAAGGATGGTCAAAAGCGTACTTGACACTAGCCCATACTGGTGTCTGACATCTGCCTTTTTGCGGCCAGCTTCAACAGCCTGGATGATTTCAATCTTTGTCTCTAAAGACAGCCCCTTGGGCTTGATCTTCATAGATGCCATAGCTGATTTTTTTTAGGACAGGCTATCTGAACGGAAGTTCTTGAAGGCAGCTACAATGATAGTTATCTCGAGTTAAGTACGATAGACGTATGACCATTTGTGAAAATTGCTCCAGCTTATATTTCCTCCGAAGAAGCTACAGTGAACATGGCAGGATCGTTGGTGCATTTGTTTCCTCAGCATCAAAACTTCTGTCAATATGTGATTTTCAAGTCAGGTTCACCCATTGTTCGGCTTAAATAAAAACACCCCTTTGATGCTGCGACATCGCAACACCCATTGTCGTCTAGAATAAAGCCCCCTTTAGCGGCACAAGGAACAGAATCTCCAAGTCATCAGTGGTAAAACCGCAGCGCAAATTCCCGAGCAGATTAGCATTTTTGGAGAACTACTGATACATTTCATCAGGAATTACTTTCTGGGATTAAGCTTTTGAAGAGGCATTTTTAATTGTGCTCATTGAAAAAATGCTGTGGACAGTGGTTTTTGACACTGTGGGTGAGGCAAAAGTGCTTGTCTTGTCTGTATTCTCATCTTAGCACAGCTCGTATTATTCTAAGTTTTCTCTCATAGGAATGTGTACATTTTGAACTGGACTGAAGAAAAATGCTTGTTGTAAGCGCGATCTCATCTTAAGCGTGCTCGTGTTATTGTGATTGGGTGTATTTGATTAACAAGGCTCAACTATACAAGTGTGTAGAATACCAAATGCCTTTGCTTTAAGAACACATCCTTGAAAGCAAGGAATGTGCCTTAATCAATCTAATCTGCTTTGTTTTTGCTACTTACCTCAGAAGTTTAATGTGCTGTGCCTTCCATATGGCCACCATTCCTGTCAATGCACATTTGACATCTTCATAACATGTCCCTTACTGCTCATCCGACTTTTGACTTTTGTTATTCAAAATATGCAACTTGTCACAGTTCTGATTTCATTACCCTTAACATTGATCTAGTTTGTTCACTTATCTGTGTCAATAACATCACAAACTGTATACCATTGCAAAGAGGACATTCTGCCCTTTCTAGAGATACATTTCTTTTTCCCATATATAAAGTAGTGTTGCCATTACAGTAATCTTTATCTCGGTATACTTTTTATGTGGACACCCTTTATTTCCATTTGTGCAGGCAATAGAAGAGAATGGGCTGGAGTCATACCTTGACAAGTGCAATAAGCAGATAGAGGAGATAGTAGAGTTGGTACGAGGCAAACTGACAAAGATGGCTCGCATCACGCTGGGAGCGCTTATTGTCATAGATGTTCACGGTGAGATCAAACAGAACCACATCAAGGGCTTCAAGTGGAATTTTCCATGTTTTGAAACACTGAGTGTAGACTGTAGTGCTTATGTAATATTAAATGCCTCAGATTCCATAATGAAAGAGGTTCATTTATATATTGAAAACTGAAAATCTGGAACCCCAATCCTGTGGACTACTGATGCAGCAGAAGTTTTAGGAGCATTTTAGAAATGCAGTGACCGTCAGAAGAAGGTGATATTTGAAGTAAATTACAGTAAGTGATGCTAGCAGTCATTAGGGTGTCCCACCAAATACTGGCTGTGGGCATGTCAAATTCTGTATTTTGTACATGTATGTTGCCACTGAAACAGACTTCAGTAAGCATGTTTAGTCTTTCGCATTGTAATACTGTAACATGCCTGAGCTTATCCCTAAATGACTTGTCTTCCATATTTGAAAAAGTATTTTCCTGGTACAGTAATCCAGATACTCCCAGTCTTAAGACCAACTACTGAATTGAAATTAACTTTCAGGTCTGATAGAATCTTAATTACCTTTGCTTTTTCTATCACTCTGGTTGGTTATTAGCTCGTGATGTAGTTGCCAACCTTTGTCAGCAGTATATCAAAGATCCACACAGTTTCTCGTGGATCAGTCAATTGAGATACTACCATGAGGAGAGCAGTGTCATGGTTAGAATGATCACAACCACAGTACCCTATGGCTATGAGTACCTGGGGAATACAAGTAGGCTGGTCATTACACCACTTACTGATAGATGCTACAGGTGAGTATGAACACCTGCACAAAGCAAATATTGCAATACCATGAGATGTCAAAACGTAAATTCTTCTGCATACCATGAACACAAACTTATATTATCCTTAACATCGGTCAGTCATAAATATCATTCAAGTTACTTAAAATGTGGTTCGAGCAAAGAGAGACAGGCTCTTATATTGTGGGTTTCAATTTCTTGTCAGAACTCTAATGGGAGCCTTGCTGCTCAATCTTGGAGGAGCACCTGAAGGACCAGCTGGCACCGGTAAGACAGAGACATGCAAAGATCTGGCTAAGGCTGTGGCTAAGCAGTGTGTGGTCTTCAACTGCTCTGATGGGCTTGACTATAAGGCCATGGGGAAATTTTTTAAGGGTTTGGCCTCATCTGGGGCCTGGGCATGCTTTGATGAGTTCAACAGGATTGAGCTGGAGGTAAGTTCACAGGAAAAAGGTTCCTCTTTCATTAATCTGTTTTGTTCACATTTGCAGCAATTTTGTGTTTGCTTTTGGGAGGGGCTTTTGGTGTACAGTTGTATTATAATTCTAAGATGTTATCAGTTACAAGATGTGTCCCCCATACACCCTACAAATGTGAAATATGGTGCACCATGTATGCTGCAGCTGTGTGACAGAAACAATGTGCAAGGCAGCTTCTGAAGTACTTTAAAAAGCACTAATTTTTACAGAGAGTTTAATTTACCATTCTACACCGATAACAACAGTTTTGAATTTGAGTTGTTTTTGGGCATTACAGTGGCAACAAATTTATTCACATTGAATGTACATGTAAAGACCTGTGATACATGTACTTCAGTCTCTTGGAATTTTTATATCCAGGTCTTGTCAGTCGTAGCTCAGCAGATACAAAGCATCCAGAGAGCTGTTGCTGAACAGGTTACAGCGTTCATCTTTGAAGGGACGGATATATCTCTAGATCCATCATGCACTATGTTCATCACCATGAACCCTGGCTATGCAGGGAGAGCAGAGCTTCCAGACAACCTGAAGGTAAGTGCAGGTTAGCAGGGTATCTATTAGGTGAGGCATCTGGGTAAATATGAAAAGAAGGTTGCTTTTGTGGGGCTAGGGCTGTACTATAGATCGTGGTGTTGATGCTTATGTAGATGAGCTCAAATTGGGGGAGGGCAGAAGAAGGGACCGTGTAACAGTTTATTGTCTGTGAATCTCTGTAAAGGACATTAAGTTAACTCACTGAGCAATATTTTGAGCCCACTTCTTCTTTCAAAGCTGTCAAGTCTGGATCTGATTTGGTTGTAATTAATGTGTAACCTTAGTACAGGAACTTTATTGAGTAGGAGATTGTGTCTTGAAGAAATGTGTATTTTGCTTTTGTTCTTGCTTCTCAGCTAAATGTCATTGTTTACAAAATTAGTGAATATGGGTTACACTCCATGCCGTGTAGACTTCTGTAAAACTGACTTTAAGAAAAATTCGTACAAAATTTGTAGGTGGTTTGTGTCATGTAACGCTAAACAAATGTCTGCAATAATGGTGGTCTTACAACAATATAATCATTAGGTCTTTTAGTTTTATTTCAGTATACCTAGACTTGCTCCTTAAAAGTTATCTTGATGTTGAATATGAATGGTGTGTACCGGTATATTACAGGTCTTGTTCCGGACTGTTGCCATGATGGTACCAGATTATGCCCTAATTGCAGAGATCAGCCTTTACTCCATGGGATTTGTGGCTGCTAGATCCCTGTCCACCAAAATTGTGGCTACTTACAAACTCTGCTCTGAACAGGTAAAGTTTTACTGTCTTATGTCATATTAACCATATGCTGCTGGGGAGCCCAGTTTCGGGCACGTAGGCTTTATAACAAAACAGGGTAGCCCAAAACTGGACAAAAGAGCTGGCCTTGTAACAAAAGACCGTACTCGGAACAAAAGACTGAGCTGCTGAGAATTGCCAACATTTTTTACAGTTGTCAATAGTGGAGGAAATCTGTCAATATTTTGAGAGATTTTACCACAGTGGCATTCAGCATTACCAGTGTGGACAAAAGCGCTGTAGCGATGAGTGATACGATACTGCTGCATGCTAATTTGGCTCCTATTGAAAAGACGGCAGTAGCGCACTGTGCCAGTTTTGGGAACAAAAGGAAGGTACATAACACTGTTTAATCTAGGCTCTTTTTGCAAGGCTGCAGGCCTGGCTGAAATACTCAGGCGTCAATAGGTGTTGTCTGTCAGAGTAGAGTAGTCACCAGACAGTCATTTGTGTGGGTGTAAACGTCTAGTAAATGAAGCTATGATTTTCCTTTTTTTTAATTTTGAAAATAAAAAATCTTGAAAATCTCACAGTTTTACATCATGCAACTTCAAATTCCACCCGGCAGCAAGTGGTTAACACTAATTGTTCAGTGATATTTTATGGAACATTTTTTGCTTGCTGTGTTTGTTAAGAGTTTCCATTAGACCACTCCAGTATAATAAGTTGTTTTACAGATTTAAACGTAAATGGTTGAAAAATGTAAACAAAACCAAAATGGAATCATATTTATTTATTTTATTTTATTTATTTGATTTCTCGGGAAAAAGGACAAGTTACAAAACAAAACATCATGGTGCTACACAGCCCTTCCATATTACCCACAATAATTATTGTGCTAAAATTTATCCGTTTACATACCCGCTATAAGTTCCGATGAAATTTTATTTTGGGCTGATTTTTAAATTGTGAATAAAATATTTTGAATCGTGCCCAAAAATAAAAATGATTTTCTAACAAACTTGCAGATGGATAGTGAGTGGGGGTTGATAATAATATACTAAAATATATCAACTTTAAAGAACATCTTAAATGTAAACATTTGATTTTCTGAGATTTGTTCAGATGCATCACATTGTAGGCGTCCAATATCTGACAGCTACAGTTTTTTAAAAAATTTCATGGCTGCTAGCACTAGTAGGAAGGGATACCGCTTATTTCTTTTTTTCGGGAAAAAAGTGTATTATTCCCTCCAGCGTGAAGACCCTTATTTGTTTTTTCTTGAGACAATAGAAAATACTTTTTCCGTCCTCATCTATTATTTATCTAGAAATCATTTGAGCACATGGGGTTATGCATCCGCATGTGTACGACGTGCCTTTATACAACACCATGTATCCCAACATGTCTGAAGGTGGTGACCTTTTGGGTTTGCACTTTTGTTGTGTTTGTTCAGTTTTGTAGCCTAATATAGTCCAATGTCTTAAGTAGGTTTTCAGTACATAGATAAAGTAGCTATAAGGCGTAACTGATAAGGTGCTACAGTGGTAGCCTTGCATGATATTTTCTGTTTGTATATGCCAAATTGAACATTTTATGCCAATTCGACTTGACTTGGAAACATTGGACTCAAGACTTGACTTGGAAAAAATGATGTGAGACTGGACTTGAAAAATGACTTGGTTACAACTCTGGAAATGAACTAAAACACGTATGTACTTAATCAGATATCCTATCCTCCATGCACAAATTATTAACATGGACTCTGTGCCCTGCAAATTTGCCGTACTGCTGTCATGCTTTTGAGGCAGTTTTCAAAGCCATCTTGCCTTGCCTACTCATAAAGTTAAGGTGGAGGCCAGAAAAGTAGGAGTTCTTACAAAAAATAAAATTTATCTGTTGGCGGATGCAGGTATTTTCAATAGGATTTGTTTCTTTGTTCATAGTTATCATCTCAGCATCACTATGACTATGGTATGAGAGCAGTGAAATCTGTATTAACAGCAGCCGGTAACCTTAAACTAAAACACCCAGATACTGCTGAAGATATACTGGTTCTTCGATCTATCAAAGATGTAAATCTACCAAAGGTAAAGAATTTGTATAATTTTCATTTACCAAGACTGCCTGTGTAGTGCACTGAGAACCAAAATACATGGAACGTTTGAGATTCTTTCAATAAGTTTTAAAGATATCAATAGAATTCCAGTGTCTGTCACAGGTTGTGATTCTTGCTGTCATGGGTTTCATGCAAGTTCACAAAATTCTGTGGAGCCCACCCACAAGAGATAAATGGGTTCATGTTATATAGAGTACCGAAGTGTGATGTAGTTTTGAACCAAAAGGGTCATTCAAAACGAATGGGGTACCTAACCTGATTCCAACTTGCATTTACCTGTAACTTTTGCCTGTGATTTTATACGTATGCAGTGTGTTGCCTATGGTTTGCTGGTGTGACTAGTCCCTCATTTGTTCCATTCCTAACTTATCACCTTAATTTGCTTGTGATGTGGGAAACAGGTTCAAGTTAAACCTTGTTTCTTTTTTCCCTTGTTGCACAGTTTTTGTCCCACGATATTCCACTGTTTGAAGGCATTATCTCAGATCTTTTCCCTGGTCTTGAGATGCCCAAACCAGACTATGGTGCCTTAGAGATGACACTGAGGGATACTATAGTTAAGAAGAAGCTACAGCCTGTGCCTTGGTTCATCGAAAAGATCATTCAGGTCAGTAAAATCCAGCTGGGAGATATCTCTTTCTTTGGCCCTTTTTGCAAAAGGATGATGAAATTTTGAATTCATATTTCGTTTTGGGAGTTGATGTGGTTGTTACATTGCTCTTGTCCTATTTACACTGAAATTGAGCAATATCAGGTTTGTTGCCCTGATGCACTAAAAAACAATAACAAAAAACAGACAAACCTTTTCGTGGTGGACCCAGTAGACTGGCCTTATTAGAGATGGAATTGACCTGGCCAAACCCCACAAATATATTCATTAACCTTGCGCAAGGATGAGCGGCTACCCAGACACAAGGGGGGGGGGTATCAGCTAACGAACGGCGGACTAAGCCTGGAAGCATTTCATTGGCTGGGTGTTTACCACCACTTAGGAAAGACAGGATCTATCTGGCAACAGAGCAGTTAAATACAGGGAAACCTAAACAAGCCTCACTGTGACATAGAATTTCCAAGGACAATTAATTGTGTAATTTGTTTATTTTAATGACAATTTAGTGAGGTATATAAGTAACACAAAGTTTATTTACACAATACACCTTAATAGGCAATGCAATATGCCTCACATGGTAAACCTAACCACTCAACGAGCTTTAGTATGACTAATCTATAACCTAGGGATCCCTCACTACTAGTAGGGATAACCTTGACACAAATAACACAGAGTTTCATGTAAGTCAGTGTCAATTAAACGAAAGGTAATTACCCTTACAGTGATTTGGGCACATTAAGTAATCCTCAAGGCCAGCTAGCACAGTGATAACAGGATTGCCTTCCAGCCGTCACCCCACTAACAATGCTTACAGACGACAATCAATCCAACACCAAAGACAACTAGCTCTCAGCCTAGGTTCCCTAGTAGGTTCCCTATGTACACTCAGCTCTATTATTAATAATCTAGACCCAATACAGCTCACCACTACACCTAACAGTTGTCACATGCAGCGTTTCCCTGAGCAGCGTCACGTCCCACGCTACCTCACGGCACAAGTTGGCTCAGCAAACAGTGACACACTGTTCTGCGGTGACCCTCTCACTTGTTTAACACATTCATTAATAATTGATGAAATAGATTGGCATCCATTCGTAGCCCTGTTTCGTTATAGTATAATTGAGACTAGGTCTTATTTGCTTACAAATAATATGCAAAGAGCATTACCACAACTTTAACAACCCCTTTGAAATGGCGAGAAACTTTTGTCAATAACAATTTTCCAATCTGTCACTGTGAAATTTCTTCATTCTCAGATCTATGAGATGATCCTTGTCCGTCATGGTTTGATGATTGTTGGGGATGCCATTGGAGGCAAGACAAGTGCCTGCAAGGTGCTTGCGGACTCCCTGGGCGAGCTACACACAAACAAGCTCATGGAGGAATTTAAGGTTAGTAATAATAGTGATTACAAAAATCTAGTACTTCGAAACAATTTTCTGGATTTCTTTGTTATTATTCACTTTAATTTCTTTTCCAATATTGTGGTCAAAGCATTTGACTTTAACCACTTCCTGCCGGGGACTCCGGGATTGGAGACGTATGGTTTATATGCGTGGCCGGGGTCTCCGAACTCGGACAAAGGAAA